TCTCGGTCGACTTCTTCGCGTCGCAAGTGCAACTCCACCAGTCGGGACTTGTGCGCGGACAATTCAACGAGCAGCTTCCGACGTTGTTCAGCCGCCTCAGCCACCCTGTCGGCAGCAGCGAACGAAATTGTCGAAGTTGTCGTCGTGCCACCGTTTTTGGAATCCACTGCAAACGGTGACGAACGCAGCCACGTCGTCGTCGTCTGCCACGAAGGCGGCGGTGTTGATTTAGGTAATGGTGACTGCAATAACTGCAGCTGCGTTTGTTGCAATGGCCGGTCCGGCGATTTCGACGTGTGGTTATCTGCTGCAGAGGTCGGTGACGTTTTGAAACCGGCGTCGGAATTTTCGTGCCCATTGATCTGACTCTGACCGAGTTGATGGTCCTTGTTGTCACTGTATAAATCATAATATTTTTTTAAAAAAGGGATCACTATACTCACACTATCATATCCAGAAGCCAAGTAAACATAAATATAAAAAATAATGATGAAATTTAAATTTAAATTTAAAAAACGAGGAGAGAACGCGTGCCTTGGTATATGTATTATACATTACAGCATTAATTATTTGTATGCGCAGCGAAGGAAAACAAGCCATATGTTCAATGTAAAGATAACACCTCTGGATAACGCTTCCGGTGGGCAAACGCTAACCGATAGTGATCGATTTAATTTTAAATCACGTGTATTTCGTTCGTGCACGTTGTCTATCGATTTTAATTTTTTAATAATCATTTCTCGGTATTGCTCTAACGGCATCACGAGTATATAAATGAAGAAATACATAAATTATATTGTAGGAACAAACAACTAACACAAACGCGGTAGTTCGATTCGTAGTGTACGTATTGTGTATTACATGATGTGCGATCGTTGCCCCGACATTATCCAAGTGTCTATGTATAGATTTTTATGAGCCGCACAGGGTTAGAGCAGCTTGGATAGCTCATCCATATGATCCATTGATCATTTATCATATACATTATAGGCACAATAGATTGTACATATTATATACTATAGTATTGTATGTAATAAAGAAAATAAAGTAAGTTGTAGTATAATTTCATATCGAGTTTACAAAACAATGTTGTCAATAGATGAAACTTTTTTCAAAATTGTGGCAATATATAGCTGATATTTCGAATACAAGTATAATAATTTGAATTTATAGAAGCCAATATTACGTATTGTATAAAAATCACGTTCTATAATTTAGTTCAACTATATGTAAAGTTTCTTGCTTTTAACGGTATAATTTTTTTGTCATTACTCATTTCACATGCCGTTGTTGGGCGTCGTTCTAATATAATACATTGGTTTTTTACAATATTATTACAGTTGTTCCTGCAGTTAGGTATACCTACACCGATATATTATTATAATAGTTTTCGTGTATTTGTAGTTACTTATGCAACAGGCGTTCCATGTAAGGTTATCCGTGCGTTCATTATTATTTGTTCAACGTGCATATAAATATTAAATATATCTAATAAAACATGTCGACTAGACAAGAAATACYCGTATGACACTGTGCCGCTGTTAGTATTATGTATTTAATGTTTTAAATAATAAAAAGAAATGATATCATAGTTAAAACATTATATGTTTAAAAAAGAATCAAAATATAAGCGAATTATTTATCTATAACAAAGGTTAAAGACACAATAAAGTTGTGACACCATTTRACAAGTCGAAATCGAATGAAACATGAAACAATTATATTTTTATGTTTGTTAATTATTACACTAGATATAAATAGGTATGTGATAAAAATAGATTTTAAAAATGAAATGTTTTGTTAACGACTATATTGAGTTCTTAATATTTTGTATTATGTATAGCTTCTATATGTTTTTATGTACGTATTTACGTATTACTATTTATTTGTTTATTTGATAAAAAAAAATATTATTCACTTGGCCGGGAACGTACATAATTACTCAGTACCCATAATACTTAAAAGTACCGACACAGTTAATATTACTTGGTATAAATAATATATTAATAAGATAAAGCTCATTAACTTATATAAGCCATAATATATCGCAATTATTAAATTGCATTCAGAAAAGTAAATTATTGAATGAAATTCAATAAATAATTGAATTTTAGCAAAACATATTATACAAATTTAAAATGATCCACATATTATTTAACACTATACTTTATCTATAAATAGGTGTAATAAATTTAATGTAATTATGTAAATAAACAATCAATTAAATTATGTCATTTGAATGAGTATAATTTTAAACGTTAAAAATATACTATTATTAACTTTGAAAATTAGTACTATCACTTGTTATAACTAATTAACGAGTGTCATTATAAAACAGTTTTTTTTTTTACACATGGAGTTCATAGTGCGTATTATTTAATGCAGCTGTGATCAATGTGGTGTTAATAAGTTGCTGTATAATATATAAAAGGACACCACCGTCCACCAGACACCAGTAATAAGATCCGCCTATTACTCCCTCCGTCCACTCTTATAATATGCTATGTTCGGTTACAATATATACAAAATAAATCTAAGAGGTTTATTTCAGAAGAGAAAATAATATATACTCGTATTATGGTAAATCTAAATCGATTTTGGTTATCTAAACAWTTTTTCCAGAAAACAGTTTTGATTTATATTTTCATAAATGATTACGTTAATCCTACCGAATCTCCACTTAAACGGTATAAGTAGTAAATAATAAATACTGATAATAATTATTTTTAATGCGCAACGACTTGCCTATTATAKGCCACAGTCGTGTAAAGAGTTAATCAAATATACAGTTTTGAAATCATGTTTAATAATATATGAAAAAACTTATAACTTATACAAGGGATGCATACCATACAATTATACAAACACTCAAAAAATGCTTGGGTCATAACTGAACATGGCTTTTGATATCACCGATAGGCCTAATACCATATGGTTTAAATACAATGTTCATCGAATCGTGATATAGATAATCTTATAATACTGTATTTATATATTTTTTTTATTATTATATGTTGTTATTTGTTGTACTATTATAATTATAATTATTTATAATTAATCAGTCTAGCCGTCTAGATTTAGTTATCGGTAATTTGCAAGTAATTATATGATCAAATTGTCCTCAAACCTACACAATATATATTACCTATCATATGATTTCTTATTATCTTCTCGAAATGTATTGATACGTGAATGGAAGTAAAAATGTAACACACCTTTTATTTAATTAGGTACCTACAATTTGTAMAAAATATTTAGTACAAATAATTTATTCTAATTATTAATTTTATCTCTATTAATTAATTAATGTACCTAAAGTAAATTAGTTCTACACAACTTCAAAAAGTGACTAATTTGTGCATTTGTCATTTTTATATGTGCAATATTGGGTCGTGTTTGAAAATTGCTGCATAAATGTAATAAGATTTGCGTTTTGTCACTAAAGTGAGTTAACAGTTTACACCTATAATACATATATAAGTAAGTACCTACTGCTATTTAAAAATCTGATCAAAAAAATATACCTGTTGCAGTATAAATCTTCAGTAGTCGTCGCACAAGACGTCGAGACAAGCGTTTTTATTCTAGTCCTGGGACTTCCGCAAGTTGCGGGTGACGTCGGAAGATGGTCATTTTCCAAAAATACCGAGTCATTGTCTCCGCCGGTCGTGCGCAATGACAACGGGGACATCGTAGGAGGAGACGGTGTAGCCACGGACGGCCAGGTCGATGATGGGGACAGTGGCGATGTCATTGGCGATAGTGGCGATGTCAGCGGTGATAAAGGTGACGTGGGTGAAGACGTTTCTGTGGAAGATTTCTTGCTATCTCGCGGGAGGGAACCGTTTGTTTTGATTCTAAAATCAGAAAAAAAAATTACTATAATAATAAATTGGTAAAGTTAGATGGGTATAGCAAACTAGCTACTATATAGCATTTCAGTATATGCTTTCACATATTGTGATAATAGGTAAATTATCGTACAGCGTAAAAGTTGGTTACCTTTTTTTCTATATCAACTATCAAGTACCAAAAACAGATTTTAATTTGTATCAAGGGTCACAAAATAAAAAAAAAAAACGAAAGTATAATTTTATTTTTTGGATAAGTTGGAAGTGGTTTTTTATGTTTATCCTTTATTTTTGTACGACAAACATATGCGTTCAACAAACTGAAGTTTACAATAAACGTATGCTGTATGCACTACCACATTTGTAATAGAATATCAGAATGTAGGTATATTTTGCTATATATATATATATATATATATACTATATATACACTGCACAATTATATGCGTAAAATAAATGATTTAAGAAATACTGACATAACATCAACAAAGATAGATTTATTTGTATACAAATTAAAATGTACTACATTGGGAACACAAAATTACTTTTCAGGCCACAGATTATACAGACCTCTGATATTGTGGTACATACCTAACACTTGGTCTTAGAACAGACGTGATATCTGAACATTATTAGGTTGATATTACCTAATGAACATATAATTGGACCATTTGATAATTAATTGAATAATTTTAAAATATTAATAATGTACTTAAAGCAGATTTCGATTCACACAGAAATGCAAATAATGCATGTCCGTTAGATTATATAGGCAAAGAATAGTCTTACAGAATATACTACATGTAATATACATAACTATATTAAACGAAGACATTTCAAATAATAATGTTTTTATAATAACATTTATATGCGATCATTAGTGCGTTAGAGTTAATTTGATTTTATCGATCGTATTAAATAAAGCACGTTATCATAAATTAAATCTTAGAATGGCCGACTTCGAACCCACTTAAGCTAATGCATATATAGGCGTGCTCGCGGGTTACGACCACGATTGAAGAAATGACTCATTTCAATTGTATACCCCTAAAAAATCTAATATTCTGAAGAAAAAAAACTCAATATTTATAAATTTGAAACCTTGGAAATAGGTAGATATTAAAAAATTATACACAAACTAAAATGCTAAATTTTTGCCATTGTTCAAGAAATTCCATAGGTATTTTAATGACAWTWAATTTATAATTTTATTACTACCCTATTGCACTTTTATTTTCTGTTGTAGTGGATAATTTTTTGTTTTGTACACCTGTGAATGAAAACTCATGGGCGCCGTCCGCCGAGAGGCATGCCCTCCCCTCGCTTTTGAAGTCAACGTGAACGTTTAATCACTCGTAAAAAAAAATTATCTGCAGTAGTATCAGAGATGTTTGACTTTGTCCCCCCACCCGTTTATATTTCTGYGGGTGCCTTTAAATGAAGTCTGCGTATGCCTTACCGGTTTTGATGCGGTGACGTGCAGGTCGTCGACTGAGCCGCTGTGCCTGGCGAAGTGTTTCCAGAACTTTCAGTCTGTGCCTGTTGCCGGCTTTTGTGCCGCTCTTCGTAGTCCACGCACGCCTGCAATACTTCGTCCAACTGCTGTTGCAGACACTCGGCGGTGTCCCGTTGCTTGATGTTTTCCTTGTCGTCGTCCCGCCCATCTGTCAAACTTGCCGACTTGTAGTTGTGCCGCTGGTAGTAGTACTATAAATATATAAAATTTTATACATGTAAACATATTTCAAACAGATATATAAGTCGGTACCAACGAAATATGTTATATGAATGTTTTTGGTTTTAATTGTATACATTTATATTTATACTACATTAATTGATTGACAAAAAAATAAAAATTACGGAAGCTATTGACGATTATACACTGCGGATTATTGGTTTATAAAAGATAATGCGATTGGGCGTGAAAATATAATTATGGTTCAGGAAAATGGCATTCACCGATGGCCGATGACTAAGACGCGGATAAACAAAATAAAGTAAAGAAGAGAAAAATAATTAACTGTGCAGATCTGTGTATAAGACTACAGAAGTGGTTGGTCGGTTTTTCTAGTCGATGAAGAACAAATAATTGATAATGAAACAATGTACTTACATTGATTGTACAGATATAGTAGCTTAGAGAGTCGGTAGCATATTATTGTATAAATGATCAAATGAATATTACGATTAATACAGATATATTGTGTTGCAGGCAGCTTTCCAGCGATCAATATGACGACTACTTTTATAGACAATGTTCAAATTATGAGAAATGAAAGTTTATTCTAACAAAGCAAAAATAGCGGCATTACAATATAGCCAGGTATAATAGATTTGATAAATAAATGCGATTTATAGTGTGAATATGTGATAGGTTAGTTACATGCCGCACTATGTTGATGATTATAAGTAGGTATATATATATATATAAATTATATATTAACATACATACAATTTTTATAACATATTGATGCATAATAGCTACAAACTTAATTTAAATAATCGAGTGATTTCTTAATTATAAAAATAGACAATTTATACAGCATTAAACATTAAATTAATTCAAGTTCAAACTTATAAATTCATATTTAAATGAAAAATTTAAAATCATTTTTTAATTTGGTATTATTGTTTTTTCATAAACGTTTATACAGATTCAATTGAAGAAACTGCAGAAACTTTAGAAAAAACTATATATTGTCTATAGACTATACGGCATTTTTTAAAAGGCAGTTAGAAATAAACTAGCAAAACAATTATTATATATTTCATTGGTGATGGAATATTTTAAGACTTGAAAATTTTGGCAAAATTGTATATAATTTTTAATTGACAGCAATAAGATTATTGCAAGTTGCAATAACGAAATTATATCAAACACATTTGTATATTGTATGTGCCAATTGCCATATGTGGCAGTCTACTTTTGGAATCGTGGAGATTTTCAATCCAACCACACCCTCCTCTATAACTCTAAAAATTCCCCTTCTTATACGTTACTCATAAAACAAACGCACCCACCAACTTAACATGTACAAAGGGTGAGAATGAAACCAATGGGGAGGATAAAAACTATATTAATATATTATAATATTTTGAAAGTTAATAACAATATAGTAGATATTCTAGATAAATTGGCATTACAATAAAGATGACCTTTTTCTTTGAATTAACTATGTGTATTGTAAGATATTTTTAAGTTACATCAAACTTTGAATTACAAACTAATAAGTTTAATTTATTTTTTATTAACTCGTTTAAAATCAAATAATTGGTTGACATTTGGTATAGTTTATAATTTGTTAAAAATAGCAATATTTAGTGTATGTTTTAGTTAATAAACTGTATATTTTGCTACTCGATCCCTATACCTCCTTATGATCGAGTAGCAAAATATACAGTTTATTAACTAAAACATACRCTAAATATTGCTATTTTTAACAAATTATAAACTATACCAAATGTCAACCAATTATTTGATTTTAAACGAGTTAATAAAAAATAAATCCCTTATACGAGACACGCGCTGTGCAACGAATGAATAACTTTAAAACAGTTTTGTGACTCATCACAAACCCCTTTCAGACGACAACAACTCTATAATCGTTATCGACTCTATAGTCTACATATAAATGACGCGTAGTCAATCATTATAAAATGTGTGTCCTCCTATACATAAAAAGTTAATAAAAATTAATTTTGATATTAGTYGTTCACTACTAATTTAACGGCGAACAAATCCCGCATAAAATATAGTACATACTTTTATTACAGTAAAAAATAATRAGCATATATATACGAACTATAATTAGGGCTGGGAACTTATCTAGTATTCAAAAACCTTAGAATATGTATGCACATAATATTATGCATTTAAAAGCAAACAATATGCACGTAAAATATGTTCTAATAAAATATGATATAATTATATAAATTATGGAACTTAATTTATAATATTTGTGAGAAAAAATATAATTTTAATTATAATTGATAAATCTTGAAAAATTAATTGAGGTATAATCAACCTATAATATACCATAAAATATAACGGACAACGGAAATTTACTTACTACAAGCATCCTATATGCTCGTCGAGCGATGTTATATCAATTATATAATATTATTATATTGTTATTTTATGTAGGCTGACTGTAGACATTAGGAAAATAAAATTTTTATTGTTATGTTATATTTAAAGTCAAAATTTTCCAAATTTGTATTTATCTATCTATATATATATATATATATAGATATACATCATACTGCAGGTGTCCCATGGAGACATAACATTTTGACAAATTAAGTAAATTTTATTCCACTAAATATTAAATATATATATTTTTTTTTAATATCAATAATCTCGTTATAAGTAAATTACGATAGTTTATGTTAGAAACATTATTATTTTAAAAAATATAAATTTTTTTTTAAATATTTTATATGAACATTTTTAAATACCATTATGCGCCTAGGTAAATTTTTATTTTTTTAAATTATAATGTTTCTAACATAAACTAGATCGTAATTTACTTAACGAGAATATATTGATGAACATTTGACTTAAATAAATTGTTCTCAAAATAATATTTACAATTTGGCAATATTGAATGTTTCGGAAGTTTTTTTCATCAATTTTTAAGTTTTTTATTTTCAGTATTAAAAAGCGGGTAAGTCGTGGATGTCGCTCTGCTGTACAGTAGGTTACAAGGGGGCTACTGTAATGGATGGAATTAAATTTGAATCCAATGATATATATCATTGTAAGTATATACCTACGAAAAACGATTCTGAGCGGAGACGGTTTATCTGTCTAGGATATATTATAAATTATTCAAAATTTTCAAATCTTAGATTTAAAAAGAAATTTTTTTACGAATTTCCAGCTTAAAATAATTTACGAATTTTCGTGATTTTTACGTATTTTGTTGAAATTCAAACTTTGAATGCTTATAAAAAAAAAATTGTGACTATGAATTCATTATATTTCTTAACTGCTATTGTAACAATATGTTAGGGAGCCTTATTGTATTAAAATTTCAAGCTTTTCTATCCAACAAATAAATTTTTATCGATATTAATTTAAAAAAAAACTAATAATGATTGAAAATTGCATATGCCTATAAATAGTTCAACTTAAGTTGAAATTTTTTGAAAATAGCACGGTGGATAGAATATACTTGTAAAAAAATTCGGTGAAAATTTCATGTGCCTATGGTCATCATTTGTTTTAATGTTACATCAGAAACCAAAATTGATTTTGTCGAAAACTGATTGTGCGTGAAAATTCCCGTTTTTTCCCTAATTTTTAGTCTGTTTATTCCGATTATTTAGAAAAATATTGATAATTTTTTTCTTTTAGCCCCCCAAAGTACAAACTAGATTCACTTTTTGATTTGAACGAGGTACTGAAGTCAAACTTTTATTGCCCCGAAACGCGATGACAGACATAAATAAAAACACACACACACACATCATGGTAAAATCAAAAATGTAGCGCAAGTGTCTATGTGCTATATTTAAAAGAAACATTTTTAAAAATATTGATTAGAACAAAGTTATTTCATTTGTCAGAATGTCAGATCTCCGTGGGACACCCTACATATAAATATATATATATATATATGATGCTTTTAATTTATCTAACATATACTCAAATGTGCATTTATATGCAATAACGACATTATTATGCAAAAATTTTAGATATCCTTTTCCATCTCGAGTTATGAAATACATCTATACACCATCACTCACTTTGTTCTGTRACCTTTTAGTTTTTAAACAAATATGAAAAAACTTAAAGTTCACATCCCTGTATATTATTAATAAAATATGGTAGGCATCCTCTAAACAACAATAATTAATAATAATTTAAAAAAAAAAAACGTTTAACGTGCGAACACTTACTTTAGAGCTGTTCGCGTAGAGCAGATCGTTGTGGTCCTGATCGCCGGTGGCGTACACAACGTTTTGCACGTTKCCCAGCGGTACGGTAGCGGTGATCGGCGGCGGAGACTTGGGGACATGATGGTGATGATGGTGATGATGATACACCGGGAAACCTATGACGGGATTCCTGTCGTAGTAAGGGCTGGGTAATGACAAAGGCGATGGCGGCGGTGGGGTAGTAACCGCTTCGTCCTGCGGGCATCCGGGACGAGCGGCGTTGGCGGCGACAGTGGCGTCATCGGCTTCGGTCGGCGAACTGGTGAGGTCTTGGAGTACGTCCGACCGTCCGGCGCCGGTGGTTGACGGACCCAGGCGGTGGTGCGGATGATCGTACCGACCTGCCATGTCCGTGACGCCGGTCGACCACGGCGACGTCCCGCCGGACGAGGGTGAGGTCTCGGTCACCGGCACTGGTTGATCTAATAGGGCCTCGAACCCGGTGCGATCGTGCCGCCGTTGTGGTTGTTGCAGTTGCAGCTGCAGTTGCATCTGTTGCTTTTTGACGTTCATCGAGACGGCGGCGGCGTGACTCTCTGCGTCTTAGTATAATAAATTTATCCCTACAGATTAAACGACGATCGTGTTATTATGTTGTTACAATAATAATTTTATGTTATATTACGCGCACAATATTGTTTACGCTCACGAAGACCAATGACCATACAATTCATTATGCGAAGACCATCATATTATTATAATAAAGATCGTCGAAAGTGAATAATAAAATATCATCATTAAAATTATTATAATATAATCGTAATAAAACGACGCGCATACGCACGCATTCAACGAAATGATATTTAATATTACGCGTGCGCGTCAACAGTACCTAATATATGCACGTTTAACAATAATTATGTGTAAATACATAACGATCTAGTACGATTTATGTACACAGCACTTATTAGTTATTATATGCGTGTTTTGTATATAATATTATAATAATGATATTGATATAACGACAGCATTATACACCATATCGTGGTATAATAATACAATATTATATATAGGACATCAGGACTCGAGTACCGCTCATGTGATGACGGCAATAATGATAATATTATAGTGTTTTATACTAATCGTCGACGGCTTTAATTACAACAACGACAGTTGTAAATTGTAATACAACGAGCCCGATATAAACGATAAATTATAACGAATTCATCGACAACGCCCCGCCCGTCGTCTTCGTGTATTATATAACGCACGAATAAGAGTGACGCGCTGAATAAGAGATAACAATTATAATTATTTTATATACGACGGCGGTACGTTTGACGACGGTTGCAATATGAACGTTGTTTTTTTATTAATTTTTTTTTTTATTCGTACCTATACAATTATATAATCGATCGGCAAAGACGCTGCACGTTTGCTAATAATATTTTATGTCTGCATCATGCCACCACTTGAGAAAAATAATATAAATATATATATGCATCAAAGATCAAACATACCTAATATTTTCATACCGCGTTCACGGAGGGTTTTGTGAATGGTTTTCAAGTGAAATATTTTTACGTAAATGAAAAAATAAAGCTCGAAAAACAAGGTGGTTTTCAATTTAAAAACTATATAGATATTGAGATACGTAAGCAGTAGTTCAGTGATACAGTACTACTAGTACTAGTATATAAGTATATACATGATGTGTGATGGGTAGGTACTAGGCACGTTTTTGCTATTAAAAATACAACTTTTTTAACTAGAACTATTAAAAGCACTTAGTTTTGTACTCGTAGAAAATCTTTTGTAACACTATTCTTGTGTAACTTTAGTAAATTGTAAATGTTGTAATTTATATCGATAGAAATATCAAATTAAAAAAATGATCACACATATTATAATTTATAATGGTAAGACTGTGATTTGCATACCTACCTACTGTAGTAATAATTTATAGTTGATTATTAGTTATTACACATAAGTATACATATCGAGGTAGAATATTTTACATTTTAAGGTTAAACTGCTTACGTTTATTTCATAAAAAACATTTACTCAATACTAAGTTAGTATTACTAAATACTAATTTTATAGAAACTACAACGACATACCTACTAGAGATACTCAAATATATAACTAGGTATAATTCTAATGTCAATACATTACAGCAGACATTTGCAAATTATTGAAATATATATTTTACAGAAGATAAATATTTTATGTTTTAAATATTCATGAACGTTCATAATAATAAATTAAAGCCCTAATTTTATAAGACGTAGTGTCTACTCGGCATTTGCTAGCTGTAACAACAGTATAATATTACACATCACGTCATACGCCGTCAGTATCTTTACGATAGGTCTAAAAAAACGATATTAAGTCAACGACAGTATTATATAACGCAAACAACAGCGCACACATAATTAATGCGGTTAAACGACGTTAGTGAAATCATTACAGTATTTTTTTCTGTAAACTAGACACAATTAGTGTACCTCCCACAGTTCTACACGCATTTTATACATTATACATCATACGCACAAATAAATGTCCATAACACTATATAAACTGTTGTTATGTTATGGAGATTGTTGCGCTCAATTGATAAATTAATTATTTAGCCGCCGCCCTCGTCGGTGCTGTAATCATGATTAATTGAAAAACCACATCGTCCTAGCTATGATACACCGGTAGTCAGACACACGTCATGTAGTTTAATGTTGCTGGAAGACCACCCATGTCTGTCGGTCCCCCCGAAAACGGAACGATTTGGCTAATGGCTAAAGTAGGTGTCCTACAATTATGAACAAACCAAAATAGGAACTTAAAAATATATTTTAAGCTACACCAGCGTGCACCGGATTAAATGAAACTTTAGTTTAAAAATATTTTCCCAAATCTATATAGGTAGTATTTCCAGTGTTGCACGTTTAAATAATATATAACTGTACCGATGTACAGGTTATGCTCAGGATCTTTTTCCGCAAAAAGTTACAGACCGAAATTTAACCGGAGTATCGCGGGTTTTCATTACATGTCGAAAATAAATATTTTTGATCGTTAGGTATAACATACGAGTATACCAAAGAAACGGCGAGTGCAAAACGCTCAAATAATAATTATTATTATTGGCACGTGCCTACTCACCGATGCAATAACATTTACATATGTTCGCATAATATTATATTAATGGGTGAAAAATAATGCGATTCTCATATACATTATGCATATTATTCTTGCAATAATATACGAACTTGGCACTTATCACGTTGTTATATACGCGTAACAGAAATCCTCACATCTAGTTATTTTCAAAAGGTCTTTTATACGCGGCGATGAATGTTGCAAGATACCTACGTATAATTTACGTATAGATACACGTATATGTGTACGTAAGAACATGTTGCATTCGCCACGGATGGAATTTATAGCGTAGAATATTTATATATAAAGGACGGACAAACGTTAGGAATTTATACATTTACTTATCAATCGTGAACGGAATTCACACATCTCCGAAGTGCACCATGTTTGTATTTTATACTGGATCTGATAAACACAATCAATTTCATTTATCTACGATGTTTTATTAACGAAATGTCGATTTTTGAATCCGATTGTTGTCTGTTAATTGTTGCCCCGAACGTTTCTAGTATACGATTAGTTCACGTGGGAACACAAGTCCCCGCTCGCTCGCTCGCATTCATTCCGGTGAGATATTTTGATTTTCGAATACCGTTTGGGAACGCGACCATAAACATGGTAGGTACATACCTGTACGTATATAAAGCCCCACGGGCATTCCAGTACAGCCGTCCCACCTCCGCGTTTTGATTTTCTGGTCGTAAAGGTTTTATTTATTTATTATTTTACATTATTTATTTGTTTTTGGGCTCTATATTATACAAGCGCGATGATTTAAACGCATCGATGAAGTTCCCACTATAATATAAGCGTTTACCACCGGAAACCCAACCTCTTCCTCACGGTGCACATGCATTTTAATAGTAATAATAATAATATCATGAATACGACATAACCATGGCACTTGTGGCCGTCGCCTATGATGGGCGCGAAAACAGTATTGGCCGCTTGTTCCCGCACACGCATCGCATAGTGATGCGTTTTTGTCGGTCGCCCCGATTTGTGCTAACCGGTTCGTTTTGCCACCCCCGCATTACCGCTCCCCCCAACATCCGTCCCACGTGCTGGTTCGATTTGAACAAACAAAACGTGGGAAATATCGTCGGAGTAACCGATACGGGAGCAGCCGCGGCGAATATACAGATGTCAAATCACATATGAAATCCACGGATCGCCAGAATCAGCGCGAAAACTACAACGTCGGCAGTTTAAACTGCATGCAGCGACCTCGTAATAACTGAGGTAATAACAATAACAACGTTGAACAGCGATCGATTGTTATTAGAATGTTTTATAATATGACGTATATAATATACTGCATAACGATGATGTTGTTGTTATTTATATTGACATGGGCGCGAGAAGGTTTTTTATTTTTCCGATTTCGGATTGTTATACGTATGAATTATTATAAACTTACATAATACAATATGGAGCGATAATATTTTTGATGCTAGCGATTAGTGCGAGAAAAAAAACGTTTCAAAACGGCAAACAACGCAATCCGTTCTGATATTTTAACATAAATTTACGATTTCTTTATTTTTTTAAAGCGTCCGTTTCGTTATTGTTGACCGCCCGCCTCTCGTCGTGATGTATCATGTGTCACGATGAGTGTAAAAAAATGATTTTTTAACATAATAATAATATGCAAAAAACCTCACTCGAGATTGCGTACGGGGCGTGTATCACACTGTACACACACTTTTAGTACAGCATATACGTATAATACGGTACTCGACTTGGTATAACTCTTACAATAATAATATAATATTATTTTATCGTCGCGGACGCACTAAAACAACGAGGGCCCCGTCATCGCTGCACGCCTCGTCGCGGTCGTTACGACCTAAATAAATCGTGTTAAAAATAATATACCGACGTTACCGTAACAACTTGTTTTTACGAATTTTTTTTTAACATCTTACTCCGGCGGCGGACGCGCAGTTAATAACGATATAATCGATCACACGCGCCGCCGATATAATAAATATTATTATTATGTAAATCGACCGAACAGACCGTCCGGGTCGTGACAATAATTAGTGCGGACAATAAAATATCGATTCAATGATACAAATCCAATAATTATCGACCGCCAAGAGAGGCGGCTGTGTAAGCAATGAGCGCAGTGATATTAAGTCGAAAATCGGACGTGGAAAAAAAAAGACCAAATGGGGGGCTCGAATCATTCGTGTCGAATCGTTTTTACGACGACGACCTCAAAAAATATAACAATAAAATAAATAATAATATACGTATCAATTTTCAAACACCAACACATGATCGTACCTACACCAAAAATTACGATCTCGTCTCTTAACATTATAGTATAGTCACACAGTAATAATAATAATTCCTCGTTAAACGTTACATAATTTAACGTTGTTTCGCTATTACGTCGTAGAATTTTACGTCCATGTGGTAACAATAATGCAACAGTTTCAGTAAAACGTCGTTTCCAATATGAGATTGACTTCATGTAATTTAATTATTATATTGTTTTTTGACATCATTTAAACGCATTTTACTTACGGTGAATTATTACAGCAAAGATGGATGTCGTCGCGATTTACGCGGTAAAAGTTCGCGGAGTCCGGATATCCGATTATCGGTACCTATATGATAATAAATATTACAGTATTAATTAATTATTGTCGCGGTGGTCGCGAGTCGTCGTGCAACTGCTGTCGGTCGGACGGTGTTGACGTCTCATGACTCRGCGACGGCGGCGATTTGAACGCGCGGACAGCAACGGAAAAGCCGGCGAGTCGGCGCGGCGCGGATCGGCGTGCGAGTGGTGACAGACGCGGTGCATCGGCGCCGTTGCTGGTTGCACACTGCTGTCCGCGGTCCGCCGGTCGGCGGCACAGCAACAAAACATCGTCGCCGACAAATAATAATAATAATATGCCCGTGAAACGCCTCTACGCGCGTGCGCGCCGCCGCCGCGGTAATAATAATATTTTCATACCGCCGGCAAGGCAGCTGCTGCGGCCGCGGCAGCCGGTCCCAGGCGGCGGCCCAACGGACGACGGACGGACGTCGACCGATGAGACGCGACGCTGGCGCTCCTCCGCGGGTATAAAATAAATAAATAATAATAACGAAGACGATCGCGTTCGGCGTCTACTTTATTATTATTATTTTTATTATTGTATAGGTAGTGCGTGCGTGTTTGCGTGTGCGTGAGGTATGCGTGCGAGTAGTGCGTGTGCGTGCGTGTGGTTGCGTCCATCACCATTCACCGCGCTTTGTGTGCAACGGCAGCTGCACCAGCTGCGGAGATTATAGCAACGTAGTGCAATGCCGCCGCCGACGGTGCAGCCCGTCCAAGAGAGGAATTTTCGTCGTCACAGTGTGACAAAAATATTACTATTATTATTATTGTCGCGCGGAAGACGATTTTCACCCGCGAGAGTGCATGCAATTGGCGCGACACGTGCCGCAATAACAGACCCGACGATGATTTTATTTTATAATATTGTGTAAAATATTGCAACAATGCTATATTATATTATCGTTATTTCGTTATTTTTTTCCACTTAGYCTGTACGAGATTTGAACACCGCACACATATAAAGCATAATTTATATTTATATATATGTTTGACAAACATTGTTTGTACTTTATATCCGTGGAACACCGTTATACCGTAGCCGGTAGGTGGTAGGTACTATAATAGGTACACGGCGACATATTTACTAAAAAATATATTAAAACACCAAATATTGATATTATTTATAGCAATTCGTCAATTGTTATATACTTACTATTAGTATAATATAGCAAGAGTGGTGAACTTTTTTTGGTTCTAGTGCCAAATTGTTGCAATCAAGGGTTTGATAATTTTTCACACGCCCAAAATTGTAATCATTAAATAGAAAATATTGCATATAGTAGTAACTGATAATATATAGTAAYATAACAAATTTTGCATATGGGAATATTATAATTTTTAAAATGTTTATAATTTATKTTTTCTAATTTTACAACCAAATATTATGAATAGCATAATTTTTTCAATTTTAATCTTTCACGCGCCATTGTAATTTGAYAAACGTGGGTTCGCCACTTCTGCTATTAAATATAGGTATGAACTACCTATAATGTATGTATCATAAATAATTATTTAATTATACAATATTTTTATGGCATTGTATTGAGAAAAAATTGTGTACCCTTTACTTGCGTTTGAAAATATTTCTATAACAAACTATACCACGACGGCACGACTTACAAATCRAAAAAAAAATTTAGTATTTCTCCTTCAAATTAAACAAGTATAAAAAGGAGATCTATATAATATTTAACTAGGTACTAACTATAGGTATTTGAATTTGATTATTTCGGTTTCGAAACGAATTGGCCGAGATTACGTAATTATCGATGATCACGAAACAGAAACGATGAAACGATTMGCGTTTGCTGAATAATAAATAATGTTAACTATAAATAAATAGCTTTTCTTACGGTCTTTTTATAATATATAGTTTTATTGAACACATTGCCACGCATTGGTATTTGTATTGTTAATTAATACTATTTATTTTTATCATTCCGAGATGAGAGTCGGTGTAAAAGTAATAATATTATATTCACCAATTATATATCTACATAATAACTAATAAGAAACATACATTTTTCACCGTCGGTAATATATAGAAAAGTCAAAGTACCTACCTAAGAAACACATTTGCATGCGTGACCCGTGTAAAATTCTAAGCTATATTATAGTAGATATAACTATTACTGTTATTATACTACCTATTTAAATATCCATAGATTTATATTATTATACTCGATGAAAGTTGTAAATATATACAAAAATGTATAACCATACATTACATTAATGTATAACCGATTACCTACTTTACTCTTTAAAAATTTAATATACCAATTTACTGCTACTCATCTTTTATGTATGATCATATATGTATTTAAATAAATGCAAATTTAAACATCAGAAAAAATTTACATTTAATTAATGCATTTTTTATAAGAATTCTACAATTATTATATTAAAAAAGTTWTTACGCAACTATTTTTATAATTTCATGTAAAGTTGTGTGTTACTTTGATATTATAATATGTTATATTATTATAATGATGTATCTACATTACTTGGGTAGGTTATACGTATATTACTACAAACTTTATAATATATTTTATATGACATACCTTTAAAGATGTTCACCGTTCACGTAGGTATTATTTCTTACAATAATAACTAAAAGTATACCTGTATACCTATAATTATACATAGGTATATTCAATATTGTATATAATGCATTTATACATCGAATGGAAAATTCCTTATTAGAATTTTAAAGCAGAAATAATTAAAAATGATAATAGTCGAATCGTGATCATCGCAATAACAAAAAAGCGGGTAAGTCGTGGATGCCGCTCTGCTGTACAGTAGGTTACTGTAATGGATGGGATTAAATTTGAATGCAATGATAGGTATCATTGTATACGAAA